CTGGATGATTGTAACCACTCTAAGTTCATCTGCCTTGGGAAAGCTAGCGTGTCTCTGACATAGTGATAACTCTCGTTGCCTTCTCTAGTGCAGCTCAACCAGGTCTCGTCCCATTCGTCGATATTTGTGATATTACAAATCCCGGATAATATGCGTTGTATTCCAACAACTACAAACAGCAACATTACAGACCAACTAAAGTTGAAAAAGTGAAAAAGCATAATAGAACCCCTTTAATACCAAAAAGAAGAAACAATTGAAATCGTAGTATTTTGACAGAGGAGCATAAGTTTCCCATCTTTGTACTTATTTATTTATTTTAATTATTTGAAACTTCTCACAAAATCATGTCAGTCTTTTGAATCTCCACAAATGGACACAAAACCATGAGGAAATAAAGTAAAAGGAAGCAAACTGAATGTCAATACTTTGATCAAAAATACATACATACGCGCGCACACATATACGCTTTTATAAAAAATAAAATAAATCAATAACATGTGACACCTACAGTATTTCCGGCTCTGAGTATTTCTAACACCCCTGTCTATGAACTTTAACCTTTAATGGCAAGTCGGATCAGAGAGCTGTGATTGGTCGGTTCAGTTGAGTGACGCAGACTGCGTCTTCACCCTCCCATGTTCAGTACCTGGTGAGCGAGCGGCTGTAGCTAGCGTGACTGTCCTGTGCTGAACAAACACACCAATGTCAAATCACTGAATCATTTCTGCTGCACGGTAAGACGTTTCCTGCTGTTGCTCAAAAGTAAGCGAGCTTAGATCATAGATGATAAAGCGGAGCCCGGATGTCCATTCAGCCGCATATTATCATTACTCACGTTTCACCAGAGGTGTTGACAGAAATGTTCTAGCCTATAAAATCTGATGCATTTTTAAAAAGCTGTGACTTTTTCTTTTCTCTTCCACAGTGCTCCTCACCAGAACATTCTGCTACCTTGGCTTTGAGCTTGTAAAACAAGATCATCTAATAGCATCCATTGCAGGAGACTTGCGTCTTATGGTCTACACTATACAACAAACTCACACATCAGAAGAATGACTACAAGGCCTTCAAAATACGAAGAGTTCTATAGACTGTTGCTAGGTCCACTAAATGCAAAATCAGTAAACGGTAGTTATTGTTCAAAACTAACATTGTAGAGGGGCATTCAGGGTACAGACAACTTAGTAACTGAAAAAAAAACGAGTGATGTTAACCTTACTTATAATTAAAAGAAACACACAAATTTATATATTGGTGTGTTTCTTTTAATTATCAGTAAGGTTAACATCACTCTGTTTAGATATAGATATCGCAAGTTACAATGATTGTTTTGTTCTCGGTGGATGAGTTTTATCCAAAACTTTTTATGGCAAAAATATATGTAATCTGAATTATAGCAACACTCGCTTGCTGTAATGTGAACTTGTATTGCACTTTATGAATCAGTAACATGATCTCAGTACAACTACAAATAATACAAATATATAATAAAATAACAAAAAATACAAAGCCAAGTTTAATAATTGAGCATACTGTAAATTGAATTAAGCACAATTTACTCCTCACCAAGAGCTATGAATTGTTAATGAATTTCCACTCTAGCAACAATATCTGCAGTGTTTTGGTGATATAACAACAGGAACATTGATTCATATTTACTGACCACATTATGGAAAGGTATGTGTACGAAGAATTTATTTCAAAGGAAGTGGCAGACTATACTTTATTTGATTTTATTACACATTTTGCACATTAACAATGCAAGACGGAATATACCAACTTTCGTACTAAAAAAAACAACAAAAAGAAGAAACAATTGAAATCGTAGTATTTTGACAGAGGAGCATAAGTTTCCCATCTTTGTACTTATTTATTTATTTTAATTATTTGAAACTTCTCACAAAATCATGTCAGTCTTTTGAATCTCCACAAATGGACACAAAACCATGAGGAAATAAAGTAAAAGGAAGCAAACTGAATGTCAATACTTTGATCAAATATACATACATACGTGCGCACACATATACGCTTTTATAAAAAATAAAATAAATCAATAACATGTGACACCTACAGTATTTCCGGCTCTGAGTATTTCTAACACCCCTGTCTATGAACTTTAACCTTTAATGGCAAGTCGGATCAGAGAGCTGTGATTGGTCGGTTCAGTTGAGTGACGCAGACTGCGTCTTCACCCTCCCATGTTCAGTACCTGGTGAGCGAGCGGCTGTAGCTAGCGTGACTGTCCTGTGCTGAACAAACACACCAATGTCAAATCACTGAATCATTTCTGCTGCACGGTAAGACGTTTCCTGCTGTTGCTCAAAAGTAAGCGAGCTTAGATCATAGATGATAAAGCGGAGCCCGGATGTCCATTCAGCCGCATGAGAGCTGTGCTAACTAACGTTAGCCACTAACTTACATACAATGCTATTACAGCGAGCAGGCTCCTGGCAGACTGACACTGCATCTAAAAAGCAGCTGCACTCTCTGAATCGTCGACCCGGACAGTGTTTATCTGAACACGATGAGAGACGGCAGTATTATGTTACAGAGATAGTGTTAACACCAGCACCAGTGTAAGTTAGAGATCTGGCGGCAGTTAGCTCAGGCACCTTCACACACCCCACACACACCCATATATACATATTGGGTATATACTGTAGATTTTAAAATTCCTTACATTTCTAGTAGCACATTCCTCATCACATATTAAACATGCTCAGTTTAATTATTATTAAAGGGGTCATATGATGCGATTTCAAGTTTTCCTTTCTCTTTGGAGTGTTACAAGCTGATTGTGCATAGATAAGATCCCTCTCAAAACCAAAGAGATATTCTTTATCAAAATTAAGACTCTGCTACACCCCCTAAAACGGCTCGTTCTAACACGCCCCCACATATCTACCTCACTATGTGGAAATATTAGCATGCTGCCCAATTGTGCACCCAAAGAAAGAAGGCGTGGTTTCAGTAACCGCAGTTAGTGTTGAAGCAGCATGTCAGAGAGACGCTGTGTGTTCCTAGGCAAAAGCAAAAGCACTTTATTTTGCCTTCTGAAAGTAGATGCATTTAGGAATCTTTAAGATTACTTACAACAGAACAGCAATGCGTTTTATGGACAACCGTTTCGTGAACCTAGGAGAGGAGGTAATTCTGACTTTGCTATGACAATCTGGCGCTTCTGAATCAGCTACTGTTTTGTTATTAGCTTAAGTATTTGCTACTGACTGTTCAAATGCGGAGTTTTGCG